CTTGCCTTTCAATATCCTGGTCTTTTTCTGAAATGTATTACAGAGAAATGTTATATGAGAAACCTTCCATACTTGTGATTTGAGATGAAGATGCTAGAAATCACCAAGTGGGGCCATTCTGGTCTCAGGGAATTGGACTTCGTCTAGCCTCCCTGAGGAAGTGTCTGATCAGCTGTGCCACCAAGCAGATGGGCTACCAGGGACTAACTACCAATAGTACTAGTCAAGAGACTGTGAAAGGGGCTGGAGAGAATCCCTCTTCTGGACTCATGAACATGCTGACACAGAGATACACATAACTTAAAATAAAAATAAATCAGCTCAGCAGTTCAGGACATTTGCTGCTCTTCCAGAGGACCCCAGTTAGGCTCCAAGCACCCACTTCTGGGGGCCCATAATTGCCTACAACCCCAGATTCAGGGAATCTGATGCCCTCTCATCACCTTCATGGCCACCTGAATACATGTGGCATACACACACACACACACACACACACACACACACACACACACACACACACTAAATTTAGAAAAATTATCTTTAAACAAAAACAACAACAAATGGTCTGTGTGGTGATGGCTTGTGGTAAAGCCCTGGCTGTGAGAGTGTCAGGACCTGAGTTTGAATCCCCAGGACTCAGGTATAAACTGACATGGCAGAGACACTTCTGTAATGTCAGCAAAGCAGAGACTGGAGAATCCCCAAAGGCTCGTGGACCAGGTAGTCAGTTGTATTCAGGAGTGAATGAGACACCTGGTCTCAAATACAGTCAAAGGGTGAAATGAGGCTGAACCTCCAAATGTCCTCTGACCTCCACCAGGCATGCCGTGACATGAACACACCCACGTTCATTCATAGATATAGATATAGGTATACAGATACACACACACACACACACACACACACACACACACACACACACACACACAAAGAAAATAGGGGAAAAACAGTAACACAACCACAAAACTTGACACTCCTTTCCTGCTTCATCCTAATCCTGACTCACATAGGATACCCCAACAGTGAAAAGTGGACCAGAAACAAACCTGCTCAACCTGGAAAAGGTCCTTGTCTATTTCAGACTTCAGGCCATCACCCCCTCCCCAGTCCCAAAGCCCTCCTCACCCACAGAGGCCAGGTTGCTGTAGTTCTCCAACATCACATCCTTATACAAGTGTCTGTGCTCAGGGTTCAAACCCTGCCACTCCTCTGGGGTGAAGGTCACAGTGATGTCCTCAAAGGTCACTCTCCCTGTAACAGCAAATCTCCATCTGTAGGAAGCCATCACTGAAGGCAGGTGTGGTGCCTAATGCCTAGAAACTCAGTGTTCACAAGGCTGGGGAGGGAGGATTGCTGTGAGTGAGACGCCAAACAGGGCTAGATATGAAGTTCCAGTGCAGTGTGAGACCCTGTCTCAAAATGATAACAAGGCTGGGCTTGTGGTGCACACCTTTAATCCCAGCACTCAGGAGGCAGAAGCAGCAGGATCTCTGAGTTCAAGGCCAGCCTGGTAATCTAAATTTTTAGTTTCATGTCAGCCAGGATTACACAGCAAGATCCTGTCTCAAAAAACAAAACAATAACAACAAAAACAAAACAAACAAAAAAAAACAAACCAAGTAAACAAACCTCATAACAAAAAGATTCCAATTGCTTCTGAGGACTAGAAATATAAAAAATGTGCCCAATGCCTTGTGTGCTGAGTTTACTGAATACTATGATAAGGTAGAAAACAAATTGAATTTTTAAATATATGCAATCTAATTAAAATCCTGAGGATTATTCATGCATCCATCTTACTGAACTCTGTTAAAAGAAAAGACTCCAGAAAATTTATATTTCAGTGATATATCTGGAGGTGGATTTTAGACAAAGTGGGTGGTGGCAGTGGCCAAATGATGTTCACCTTGGCTGGACATGGTTTTGTACACCTTTAATCCCAGCACTCGGGAGACAGAAACAGCAGGGTCGAGAGTTACAGGCCAGCCTGGGTTGCAAAGCAAAGTTCTGCCTCAGATAATGGTTTGAGCATGACTTTAATCCCAGAAGATTAAGGCAGAGGCAGAGGCAGAGCCAGGAGGATCTCTGTGAGTTGGAGGCCAGCCTGGTCTACAAAGCAAGTTCCAGGACAGCCAGGACTGTTACATAGAGAAACCCTGTCTTGAAAAACCAAAAAAAAAAAAAAAAAAAAAAAAAAAAAAAAAAGAAATCAGAGTATATGCTGATTTTAATAAAGGCAAGGAAGAAAACATGGGCAGCTCAATAGGAGAAGCTAACTGTGAACAACAGGAGTATGAGTGACATGGTTTTTTGTTTTTTTTTTGGAGGGATTTTAAATTTGTAAAAGTCATTATTATTACATTTTGCTCATTTATTTATTTATCTTGTATTCATATGTGGGTGTGGGTATAGAGGTCAGAGGACATCTGCAGGATTTGGTTCTCTCCTCCTACCATGTGACTTCCATGGAACTCAGGCCAACAGCCTGGTCAGCAAGAACCACTACCCACCGAGCCATCTGCAGCCTCAGCCACCTTGCTTGCTACTATTTTTGCTGTTATTTTGTTTGAGACAGGGTTTCGCGTAGCCCAGAATGGCATTGAACTTACTACACAGCCAAAGTCTTCACTGTCTGATTCTCCTGCCTCGACCCACCAAGTGCTAGAATTACAAGTGTGCATCACCACCCCCAGCTAATTTCCAAGGTTTTTGTTGTTGTTTAGACTTATTTTGTGTGTGTGAATGCTTAGCTACATATATGTGTGTGTGCCACGTGCTTGCCTGGTGCTTGCAGAAGTCAGAATGGGACACCGAATTCCCTAGAACTGCAGCTGTCGGTGGCTGTGAGACACCATTCGGACACTGGGAATTGAACCCACGTCCTCTACAAGAGCAGTAAGCAAATGCTCTCAACCTCTGAGCCATATCTTCAGGCCTCCTGATTTCAAGTTTTAATAAAACTCACCAGAGGGGCTGGTGATGCAACTCTGTAGTAAAAAGCTATTTGCCGTACACTAGATTCGTGGTCCTGTGCAAAATAAATATAAATAAATAAATAAATATAAAAACTCACCTTGGAATCACTCATTTCTTGTTCTTTTCAAGTCAAGACAACCCTGGGGAGGAAGATTTGCTTGGAACTGGGGAGGGGGGGGCACGAAAGATCAGAATTTCTCTGGAATGTGCCATCCTCCCCACCCCAGTCTTCTGTTTTGTCCCCCTGTACTAGTGACTTTTCTCCTGGTCTCCAGCCAGACCACAGTGCTTAACAGTTCCACAGCCTTCCGAAACAGCACCATTGCTGCTGTAGAACTGCTGGTACGTGATAGTGGGGCCTGGTGGGATGGCTCAGCAGGCAGAGGGACTCAGGGCAAGCCTGACGCTCCGAGTTTGACCCCTGAGAACCCACACGGGCGGAGAGAACCAACTCCTCCAGGTTGTGCTCTAACTGCTACGTTTGGGCCTTGGCATGCACACACCTACCACATATTCACCCACGCTCACAGGTACACACAAAATAAAGAAAGAAAGAAAATGTAATTTTTATAAAAGCATACCATCCTGTGGGGGGACGTTACACAGTCAAATGTAATACCTTCCCTTTTGTTTTTCCTCAGTTCTTTTTTAAAATAACATTTATTTACTTCTGTAATTAGATCATTCATTCTGTATTTGCGCATGTGTGGTGTGCAGGCACACCACGGTACACATGTGGGCAGAGGGCAACTTGCTAAGAATCTGTTTTCCCTTTCTATGACGATGGGCAATGGGTCTCGGGGATCAGACTCAGGTTGATAGATTTGGTGGCAAGTAACTTAACCTCCTGAGCCATCTCACTGGCCCCAACACCCTCCTTTCTTACATATAACTCTTTTTTTTTTTTAGATTTATTTATTTATTATGTGTACAATGTTCTGCCGGCATATATGGCTGCAGGCCAGAAGAGGGCGCCAGATCTCATTACAGATGGTTGTGAGCCATCATGTGGTTGCTGGGAATTGAACTCAGGACCTTTGGAAGAGCAGCCAGTGCTCTTAACCGCTGAGCCTTCTCTCCAGGCTCTTACTTATAACTCTTAATTGCATATATGATACATACACTATATACTGTCACATATTATATATGAAATATATAACATTAGCAACCTAATAATTATTACTTATTATATTTATCACATGTTATACAATTATTAATGTATACATATTGTTATGATTAATATGTTAATATATTGAATATATGATCAACAATACATGTGCACATACATGAACAGTTTATGTTATATGTAAAATATATAATAGGTGCATAATATATGTATAGATGTAAAAGACCCAAAAAGCATACACAAAAGGAAGTGTGACAAAGTACAAATGGACAGTAAATCTCTAGATGTTTTAAATCTCTAATTCCAACAGTGGAGAGGCTGACAGGAGGGTGAGTGTGAGTTCCAGGTCAGCCTGCTCTACATAGGGAGTTTGGAAGGCCCAGCTGGGAACAGTGCGAGATCCTGTCTCAAAAGAGCCAAAATTAAAATCAAGCACTCCCACTTCTAGTTATATATCCAAAGGAAACAGGATCAGAACTGGGCTTAATGGTGCATTTCTCAAATTCAAGCACTGAAGACGAGAGGCAGGAGAATTGGTGTGTTTTAGGCCGACTTGAGCTAGGTAGCAAGACTCTGACCTTAATAAATAAAACAAACAAAGCCACACATGGTGGCATAAGCCTTTAATCCCAGCACTCTGGAGGCAGAACTGGCAGATCTTTGTAAGTTTAAGGTGAGTATGGTCTACAGAGCGAGTTCCAGGACAGCCAGGGCTGTTACACAGAGAAACCTTGTCTTGAAAAACCAACCAAACAAACAAAACCAAAAAACAAACAAACAAACAAAAAGCCCACAAAAACTCACCACCAAAAACAACAAAAATACCCCAGGAAATAAAATCAAGAGGGTGAAGAAATCTGTACTCCAAGATTTGTTACAGTACCATTCAGAATAGCCAGGAAATGGAATCAACTTATATGTTCATGGATAAATAAAATGTAGTATATGAGAGGTCTAAACTTCCTCCATTTTACTAGCTGGGTCAAAATTTCAGTCTCTCTCTCTCTTTCTCTCTCTCTCTCTCTCTCTCTCTCTCTCTCTCTCTCAAGGATTTTACCTGTGAGGACTTTTTCCCCCCAGCTTGATACAGTACAATTTCTTATCTTAACAGTGAAATGTTTCACTAAAGCTTGTCCAGTGATTGAGCAAAACTAAAACTTATCATAAGCCACAGTCATCCTAAGGCCCCCTTGCTATATAGCCTCTATGGTTCTATGGGTTATGGTCTGATTGTTCTTTATTTTATATCTAGAATCCACTTATGAGTGAGTACATACCATGTTTGTCCTTCTGACTTTGGGTTACCTCACTCAGGATGATTTTTTCTAGTTCCATCCATTTGCCTGCAAATTTCATGATGTCACTATTTTGCTCTGCTGAGTAGGACTCCATTGTGTATATGTGCCACATTTTCTTAATCCATTCTTCAGTTGAGGGGCATCTAGGTTGCTTCCAGGTTCTGGCTATTACAAATAGTGCTGCTATGAACATAGTTGAGCATGTTTCCTTATGGGAAATTTCAGTCTCTTAAACAAAGGGCTGTCAAACAAACAGCCTTATATTCGGGGACAAGGGACAAAGCATGAACGAGGCCTGATTGTCTTTAGCCCCACAATGTCTCAAGGACAGTTCCTGCAACTCCCCTTGAAATTTACCAAAGCATATCCAAAGACAAAACCTCAGTCAACTGAAAGTATACTAATGTAACTGCTGCTTGCTTTACCAATTATGTTAGATGACCTAACCATCCCTGAAATTCCCCTAGCTGTGCTTAAAAGGAGTCTGCATGCTCCTCTCAGGCTTGTCACCATTTTGTACAGGTGAACAACCCTGCATGTATACTATTTGAGTCTGGGGTCTTTCTTCAGTGTTTCCTCGGACCCCAATAGTGTGAACATATAACAGAATACTATTCAGTCACATAAAATAATTAAATCTTGTCAACTGCTACAACATGGAAGGAACCAAAGGCTATTATGTTAAGTGACTTAAATCAGCCACCAAAACTGGATAATCACATTCATGTTCAGAACCCAAAGAAAGTTATTAATTGGAGATTTTTCTGTTGTTGGTTTTTGGTCTTTTTGAGACAAGGTCTCACGTAGCCCAGGCTGGCCTCATACTTACCATAGGGCTGAGTATGACTTCAAACTCCTGATCTCCACTTCTCAAGTGCTGAAATCACAGGAAAGCACGTGGCTGGCTGGAAGTCGAGAGTATAGAGTTTATATATCTCAAAAAAGAAAGAGGGAATAGATGGGGAGGGAGAACTCTGTAGCCCAGGCTGCCATGGTGTTTATGGCAATTCTCCTGCATCACTCTCCTGAATGCTGGGACTGTAAGTGTGAACAACCACATAGGGCTCACAACTCCCAAATTTATATGCCCAGGCTTAGGTCCATTCCCCGTGTTCAGACATAGGCTGACTTGCCTATATGACTGTTTACTTTTCTATCTTAGAGACTTATCAGATTGACTCTGAGGCCCCTAAACCTCCTATCCTTTCAGCCTTCACACGTCAGGAGACCGCAAAGCCAATGATCTAGTGACCCAGAAGTCCGTGTCTTTGTGGAGGCTGTCTTGGGCCACAAAATACCTAAGGATGAATGATGGAATAGTATGTTGAGATGAGGATTCCAGCATCCTCCCCACGAAAAATGTTAAGCTACATTTTCTATCACCAGCTCAGAAAAACGATCTTGGTAGGAAGTATCTGAAAGGCACAAATCGAGAGATGAGCTCAGCGTCAGGATCCACACACAGTTGCATTAACCCTAAGATGGGCAAATCCTTTTGCCTCCCAAGCCTCGATTTCCCCGGACGAAGCACGGCGATCTTACCCTTGTTCCTGGGTCCTTCCCCACAGACTTCGTCCTCTAGATTTCTCCGCATTTGCGAGAAACTGGGACCTTTGAGCGCCTCTCAAACTTATTGGGTGCAGAGCTCCCAGTTTGGTAGGACATTGTGGGAAACACTATCAAAACTACATTACCCAGAAGACTGTGCTGCACGCGGGCCCAATAATGGACCAGAACGGGTAGCACTTCCGGGTTGCTCACCAGGGACGCCTTTTGTCTCCGCACATCGGTTCCCAAGGGGTTTAAGTTAAGTGCACATCGGAAACCTTAGGGTCAGTTTTCAGGCCTGTGGCCGAATTCGAAAAGGACCGGAACATAGGAATTCTCCCCAGAAGCCGGTCCGAATCTGTGTGGTCTGGTCCTCTCAGCCCTCGTCCCTCAGCCTGCAGCCCCCAAGGGCAACGGCTGGGGGCAGGTTTGTCATTTCCACGGAAGACCCCGCGGTCCTGAGTACGGCCGGTTTCCGTGGTTACCCGGCCAAGGCCGGACCCGCCTGGGGAGATTCGGCCGAGGTCTGCAAGGCCCTTGGTTTCCCCCGAAAAGTCCGACTATGGCGGCCGGGAAGGACCACACGCAGGTGAGTGGCCTGTGAGCTTTAAATCTCTGCTCAGGGAACCGAGACAGCCCCCCTGGATGGAGCTCTGCCGCTGTCATTCTTTTGGATACGGTGGTGGTGGTGGT